ACCTAAAACCATAATTTAAGGGAGGATGAGCCCTAAAGGGTTGACCAACACCAATTAAATATTCTCTTCAAAAATTGCAACATAATTTTTTTATTTAGCTTGTTTACAATAAATAATATTTAGGGGCTGGTGACCGGGTTGTCGTTTATCAAACGCTTATTCGGGTAAGTAAATATAAAGTCACATTACTTTACCGGATGAACATGGTAAGAACCAAAAATCTTATCGGGTAAGTGTTTGATAAACAGCCCCTGAGTTAGATGAGAAGGGAGTGTTTTAGGGCCGGTTATATGTGTGTATCGATTAATTTATTTGGCAGATATAAATGTGTCTCGAGTGATTAGATATAAACGTTTATGGTTGATAGGAGTTGGGTTCAAATCTAGATATCAGTGAAAATTTTATCTGCTATATTTGTCTAGGGTAAAATAATAGGTTTATCCTACATGATGCCATTAAATGGCTTGAAGCTGATTACGGTTGGTGTAATGATCAAGAACGATAACAAAAAACCTTGTACAACATAGTTTTTTTCTTCCTCGTAATAAACAAAGTCGGTGAATGAAACTTGGTTAATACGTTTTAAAAAGACTTCCAATTGAAATTAGTTATAAAAAAAAGTAGAATTATTAAGAAGCGCCTTTTCTTTTTATAGGGAATGTTTACCAAACGCTTACCCAGGTAAGTGCTTATTAAGTCAAGTTACCTCACCGGATGAATATGGCACGGACCAAGAATCTTACCCGGTAAAAATGAGACAGAGACCAAGAGTCTTACCCGGTAAGTGAGAGCGACGACTCTTACCATGGTAAGCGCTTACCGTGTAAATTGTTACATGCGATGTCGTTTTGGTGGACTAAAATCTTACTTGATAAGTAAATAGTAGTGTTAAATTTAACCGGTAAGCACTTATCGGGTAAATATTTGGTAAACGGCCCCTTATTGTTCGTTAAAGGTTTATTAAGCTACAATGCTGTTTCGACTAATTAAGTGGTGATTGAATATATTACAAATCTTAAAATACCATGATTTATATAACATTTTATGTCAACATTATCAGATATTGTCCACTATATCAACATTTGGACTCACTGTTCTTAAACGTATCTGATAGAGAAGGTATTTAGTCCCTTATAATACAACCTAGTTCTCATCTTTAACCGATATAAAATCTTACAATTTAAAATAACAATTGTTTTTTAATAAAATTTAAAATAATTATATTAAATAAAATAAAATTATATTTTCAAAATAAACCACCTTTTTTATATTATTTTCTATTTAAATCCCACCTTCCAAAAACACCCCAACTCCCCAAAAAAACAAAATCCAAGAAAAGGTGTCCAGAAGTTTTTTATATTTATAGTTTTTTGTTGGTTGGTTGAAATATTATTTATATTTATTAATATATTAAACCAATAAAATGCTTTTATAAAACATATGACTTGGAATGAAAACAAAATCAAGTTGTTAAAAACAACAACTATTTCAATTTTAAATCTAAAAAATGGCTGACCACCAATAAATTCAATCATATAATATATTTATTTTATCTAAATAAGTCAGAGTTTTTTAAAGACCATTTATCAGATTTTTACTGGATAAGTGTTTACAGATGGAGATAGATATGTTCATTCCCGATCATCAGGGTCTTGCACACTCACTCAATTGGATTTCACGAATAAAGTTCTTTTTTGGTACGAAAGGTGTTAACTTTAGGATGTTAGAACATACAAAAAATATCTATATTATATTATAAATCATTTGATAAAAACTTTTAAAAACTGTTTCTTATGTATAAAGTACTATTTATTGATTTATATTACTTAAAATTGAAGATCACAAGTAAATTGTGTATAAGTACAACTTATTAAAGTTTCATTTTGAATTTGTGTAACTAACTATAGATAAACATAATTAAATACCGGATAGATATCTTATTTTAAATATTAAAAAATCTAAAACATAATTAAGATAATTATTAGTTATAACAAAATACTTAATTATTATCTTTATAAAAATTATATAAATGAATTCGTTATTAAATTTAAATTAAACTATACAAAAAATATTGAATTAATAAAATTACAGAAAAACAGAACTTTAAATAATAAATTTAATACTAATATCGGTATATATTTTTTTCCCAAATTTTTATGATATATTTAAATTTATATTTTATTCAAAAATAAAAATATTATCGTTTTCTCAAAACCACAAAAAAAACCGTATTATATCGACATAGGTAAATAAAAAAAAATTATATTTGTAAACACCCTTCTAGTTAATAAAAAAACCCAAAAAACTTTTAGAAAAATATACTCGACTTGCATAAACTCGATGTTCAAATTAATTCTTTTACGTAAATTTGCGTAAGGATCCGTATTTAAATAACAATTTTTTTTTCTTTTCTCATAATATGAAATTTAACTTTACATAAATGGATAAGAGGTTTACATAAACCCTGATTAAAATCGAAATTTTGATTTAAAAAATGAATTTAATTGAAAATATTAACTATTTTAATCAATTTTCCGTTTATTTAGCAATAAATCTATACTATATTATAAAGCATTTGACTAAAACTCTTAAAAACTCTTAAACTCTTAAACTCTTAAAACTCTTAAACTCTTAAAAACTCTTAAACCCGTTCATCCCTATCCGATTTTATCCCATATCTGAATTCGTGTAACTAACTGCAAATAAATACAATCAAATACAGGATAA